ATGGATCATTCAGGAAATGCAGGAGGAGAGGGGTGGGGGTGCGGGAGAGGGGAGGGGAGATCAGAGCCCACGGAGAGGAGATGCCCCTCCCAGGAGCCACACACTGGGCACTGGCTGTTGACATCCAGCTCTCCTGTTCTCAGGCCCATTTCATCTGCGGGGTGCTTCAAAAAGAAACAATGGTGGAAGGGCCATGGAGGACACCTAGGCCTCCCAGAATAGACAGGGGGAGTAGAGTCACCATGCTGGCCCTGGGCTTGGAGACAGACCTGCAGTGGAGACCACAGGTGTTCTGAGAAGCCAGTTTCAAAATAAAGGCAGTATGCGCTGGAATACCCAGTTCGAGCGAGTGCTTCATCATAGACATGTAATTTACATAGTTCTTCTCACCACGAAACTCTGTGTTCCCAACATGCTATGTGAATGACGGATTCGACACACATTCATTTCTGAGATGTGAACAAGTGTAGAGCCGCTATTTCATCCAGCATAATGGGCATGGTTACACCTAGGAACACTTAACAATGATTTCTCAGCAAGAGCCAATTGTGAAATAAAGGCAGTTTGCGCAGGAAAAGCCTGTTGGAGTGAGGGCTTCCCCATAAACATGTAAGTTATATAGTTCCCCTCACCATGAAACTCTGTTCCCAACACGCTACATGCATGAAGGCTTCGACACATATTCAGTTCTAAGATGTTAGCACGTGGAGAACCGCTCTTTCATTCAGCATAAAAGGCATGGTTACACCCAGGAAGATTTACCCAGATTTCTCAGCTGGTTCCTTCACCCAGATTCAAAATAAAGGCAATTTGTGCTGGGAAAACCTGTTGGATCATGTTTAGAGCTGTTTCGGGCTCTGTCACAGCTGGAGGGTGCAATCCCCAACCTCCAGAAAGAGGGACCAGGCCCCCCACACCCGCCAGGTGGTGTTGCCTTTGTTGGGGAACAGTGATCTTTGGGTTAGATATTTTGCGGCTCTCTCTAAAAACTGCTTTGACTTAAGTTTGCATCCTAGTAACCAGTTCCAGGGCAACAGAAAAAGCATACCCTACATCCATTTGCACTCAAATCTTCCCAAAAGAGCAAATATTTGCCCATGAAAATACGAGCTGCTCTTCTAAGGTCCCCTAAATACCCAGCAGTGTGGGCGGTGCACTCTTGATCAGGGACAGGAGGAGAGGGAACAGCTGTCCTCCGGCAGGCTTGGCCTGGTGTGGCAGTTGTGCTGTGGGTGCGTGGTGGGGAGGGAATGCAGGGAATCCTGTTTGAGGGGCCTCTGTGCAAGTCTGCATTATGGTCTGAGGTTTCATACAAAGGGTCCAGGCATCCTAACTGGTCAGATACAGCCCCCATCCTCGGGTTGGAACCACCAGGAGCTCAGTACCTGTAACAGGGAGAGTGCCCAGTGTGGGGAGAGGTAGGTCATGGGACACTCCGGGGGCAGGTCCAGTGGTGCTGGGGAAGGCAGGGGATGCAGTGAAGGGTGGAGGGAGCAGGGTCCCTTGCTTGGGGGTGAGAGTTCTTGGGGAGACCACAGAGCATGGCACACACCATCCTCACCCCATATCCCAAATTCCTAGCCCCGCCAACACAGGGGCCGCTCTGCGCCCTCTCACAGTGGCTCTCCTGTGAGACTGCACCCAACCCGGCATCTGGCACCCCTGCCCTACCTCCCCTCTTGGGACAGACAGTGTCTTCTTGGAAACTGCCCAGCAGCGCGAACTCAAGGCAGGCAGCAGGCCTGGCGGATCTGCACTTCAGGTGCCCTAACTGGCCAGCCGTGCGTGTCTGGGCACAATCCTCTATCTTGCCCACCGGCAGCCTTGGTCCACATCCGGTGCAAGCGGAGGCCGCGGAGCCCAGGCTGAGCCCCGCACACGGACAGGTGAGGGTGCCCCCGAACCGCTGACCCCTGCACCGCTGCCCCGCTACCCCGCTACCCCGCCCACTGGTGGCAGCACCGCCCCAACTTCCGGCAGGCGCCACCTGCAGGTCAGGATGTCGGCGTGGCCACGCCCTCCCCGGCCGCGCCCAGCTGTCCCATAAGCCTCCACACCA